CAGTCTATATTTTCAAGACAAAAAGACGAAGAAAGTCTAAATAAACTCATTATTCCCAGATGTTTGACGATCTCCAAGAACGATCAAAACAAATTAATCATGTTCTTTCTTCCCATCACTCGTCAATGTGGCATTCTGGCAAGCTGAGACTCGTCAGCAGACAAGATGCAAATCAGCTGCATGTGTTTGTGCTGGAAGTCAAATCATTAGTCAAAAAAACCAAAACCATTTCATCCTTTGGCTGCATGAAAAAATGTCCGCCGGCAAACAAAAAGCTGTACAACAAATTCACTCATGGAGGGTTGACGTGACAGGAACCAGAACAATCCCAGGATGTTAAAAAAGAAAGAAAGAAAGAAAGAAGTGTGTTTAAACCATATCTGACTATTGATCTTCAGGAATCATTAGGCGTGACTGGCAACATGCTCTTGATCTGTACGCCATTGAAGTTACTCTGTAACTTCTCATGTCGTCCACGCTCAGCCGTACAGGAATCCCCTCAGTGATATAATGACTAAAGAATCTGGAAATTGGTTTCATATCAGTTACTTATTCTGCCATTACAGCTGAGGAACATGAACAGATTCAGTCCACAATGAGTCGTGTACCGTTTCTACTTCTGCTTCCCAGCTTTTCACCGTTTATTTTTTTTATTACAGTGAATTGAAAATCTATGATAATATCGCTTTGAGACTTTTGATTGGACGAAACAAGATCAAGTATCTCACCAGGCAATCTGATCAGTTCCAGCCTGGAGATGTCTGTTCAACATCACAGACTAAACCTCTGTGGATAAATGCCGCTGCGGTTCAATAAAAAGGAGATTCCTGGCTCTGCTGTTTGCTTCCTGTGCAACACAACAATCAATTATTCATGTAAATAATGACAAAGCTGATGCTGCAATGGTTTTCTGGATTGATAGCCTCTGGCCAGATGTTTTTTTAACTGCTACTGTAAAACTATCCAAATACCTCAGATGTAGAAGTGACCTAAACATGTTCCTCCAGTGTTTCAGAGAGAAGCATCCACCACTCCTGTTTTAAAAGGTGCACTAATCAGTATCTTTATATCAACAATGCCTGCCTGCTACTTTAATTGGTCCAGTCTGAAAAAACAAAAAGACTCAGATAAACCCACTGCACGAAACCTGCGACTGTGACTGCTGTTTGAGCAGACTTTACCTTTCACTGCTGCTGTGACTTTCTCATGAGCGTGGCTTTTATCATCCTCTCTCTTGCCTCGAGGCGGCGTATGGAGATGCGGGCCCTGCTCAGACAGGTCGGACAACATACTGCTGTCACGACACCGGCTGAGTTTAGCGCTCTTTAAAAAACACCAACACAATGACACAAAGACATGTCTCAGAGGAAAAAAAAAAAAAAAAAGGAAAGAAAAAAAAAGCAAAGACAAGAGGGAGAGTTTATTAAGTTCCGAACTCTCTGTTGTGCTTATAGACAGCAGAAGAAAAAGGATGAAATGGACACTTAAGAGTGACGGTGAAAGGAGCAGACGGACAGGGAGTGAACGGTGATCTGTGTGGAATGTGTTTTAAGAAACCGACTGCATGCACCTTCATGGTGAAGCTGGAGCATGTAAGGTAAACCGTCTCTGCTGCGGTTGGCATTAATTTGCCTGAGGGGTGACTATTTCACTTAACCTGACTTCTTTGTTCTCGACAAAGTCATGTTTTGCATAACACCAAGCACTGCATGTTACAGCCTCCAGAAATGGGAGAAAAAGCACTTGAAGCAAAAGCAAGAAACACAATCAGTGTTTAACTGGTTGAAGCCTGAACAACGATGAGGCCGAAGTGAAGTCGATATCTTCTTTTTTGCATTAATTGTGTAGTTTTCTGCCCACTTGTGGTGGCAGCAGGGTATTGTCTCTTCGAGCTAGCTTGACTAGCTGCCGTTACATCTGTCATTTCTGTAATTTTCGTGGATGCGTCTGTGTGCCATTGACAAAGGCTGGGGCTCGTAAAGCGGAGGGAGGAGCAGCATTTTTTTGACGTCTGCGCACCTTGGTAGTGAATAAACCGCACAATCTGATCATTTTTGACGGGTGAATAGCTATAGCTAGCTACAGACAAGTGTGCGTGTCAAGCTCCCTTGTCTACCTACCCTTGGCTCAGCTTCCACTGTCCTGAAATCAGTTATGATAGAAAATTATTTCAACAGTGTTTTCTTCATAGGAATTAAGGAAGTCACAGTAGCGAGTAAATTAGGAAATTACACTGATTTATTTAATGTGTCTTACTAATCACATTGGTGAACATATGAAACGATCAGGACTAAGGGTGTACTGTGGTGCAGCTTTTATTAACTCCAACTTAACTTAACCATAGCCTTTTAATTCTGTTCTTCTTTTTAGAGATCATATTAAAGTCTTTTCCTTTCTTTTAATCAAGGTGTAGGTAGAGTTGAGACATATTTGAGACATATTGAGGCAAGAAAATCCTGGATTGTGGTGTGTGTGTGTGTGTGTGTGTGTGTGTGTGTGTGTGTGTGTCATTGTCAGTTAATGGTAAGTATTTTGAACATGAGATGGTGTTTTTCCTCTATACTGCACATTTGTTTGGTGCCAGTTCAATACTTGTTCAGCCAGGAAGGAGTGCAGAAAGGTGACGGTGTCCATGCAGAGATGGGACAGGCCCTGAATTTAAGAGATATGCTCCAACTACTGTCATGAAAAGGAATGTTTTGTAACATACATTTTCTAACAACATATTATGTAACAATATATTATAAGTTGTCAAAGTGGTTAATTTAAAACTACTGTATGTAAGTCAAGAGTTTGTCTTATAATGATAATCAAGTCAATGACTGACAGCTAAAACCTGCTCTGATCATGTTCAGGTTTTCAGCTGCGTTACATGATGATTCCCACAAACACTTGCACCAGTTCATTCAGGTTGTAAAGTACTTCTCTGTTTATGACAGTCATCGTGTCCTACATTTATCTGCAGCAACACAGGCAGAGAAGGTACACAGTGTTTCCTACATCCCACCAACACACAGATATTGTCTTATTACACTCATTAACTTAAAGAGCTCCTAAATATAACTCTAACTTTTGCTGAGCTTTACATTTTCAGACATTGTTGCGACTGAAAACTGAAATAAAAGATTCATTCTAGGCAATTTAACTATAGTTTGTTATCAGAATTCACTCAAAATGACTTGGTATGGAGAGACAATAAATGAAAAATAACAACAGCACTGATTTGGTAGCTGTATGAGGATGTGGCTCGCTCCTTTAAAACAGAATTGTAAATAATAATAATAATAATACTATCTGCCGACCAAGCCTGATCCGATACTGATACTTTCCTACATAACCCTGTTGCACGCCGCACTCTCAGGCTGAAACAGGCCTGCAACAAAGAAATTGACATGTGTTTGGATGCTGCCAAGATATTGGTCATCACCAGAATCCAGTTGGCCATGCCAATAAATTCAGCTCAAAAACAGCTCCAACACGTGACCGCTCTCTTGCCATGTTTGCATAGAAGTCAACAGCGTTAAGCCCACCCCACTCACACATGAAGTGAAATGTGTTGCATGCAGGTATAACACATCACAAAGACAGCATCATGCCCACATGCATCAATGCTACCAGAATAAAAGCCAACAACTGAACTACCAAATATCATCCATCGAGTCCTCTGTGGGCTCTGCAGTGCTGGTCACGTGGGACCCTTAGAGGAGCAGAGCAGTTTTAGCCTCGGACCTCGAGGGTCTGCTGCCTGTTTACCAAACACATGGCAGGAGGCCAAACTCAGCACCATCCGAAGGCATCCGGTTTCTGTTTGCACTCTGTTGTGATCGCTCACGGCCAGCGTACAACCCAAAGCCATTTAACTTTAATGCAGCTGTGGTGTCTCTGCTGTGATCATGGTGTGTTCACGTTTAACAAAAAAGGAGGTGGTCATACAAGATTGTTCATCCCTTTGTTTAACTTATTTTCTGGCATTGATCAGGTACTGCTATACAACGACGTGCGACCTACTTCCTGAATCGTTCAGGCAAATTTCTGGCACCACAGTGACAAGGATTCATGGGTACTCATCTCGGACACGGACATTTACAAAAGGAGCGCGATGATTGATGGAGAAGAAGCCATTTTGCAGACTTGTTTCAACTTCAACCTGATTGTCCATCATGTGATCAAACCCCATGACTGAACAGCCGCTGCAGGCAGAGATGGCCCTCACAGTTCAAGGTGGAAACATGTGCTGAGCTCCTCTCTGATCAGGCTTTAGAGTAATAATCAAAATAATTAGAGCAAGCAGGACATTTACTTCACAATGTGTTCACAGCAACTACACAGCACAGCACAAATGCAAAGCTAATGACACAGCCAACTACAATATATTTGTTATCGCTTTCCCACACTGTAAATATGTTAACAGTAACCGACTGCATGGCCTTTGCTGTATCCATATATGACTACATTATGTAATGATAGCCTATCACAACAAGTGGACTGTGTGTTAGTGAGAGCCTCTGCATTAATATCTCACACAAATTAATAGCAGCTTCACGTTCAACTTACTAAAAACCAATATTCCGTTCAAAGACAGAACTACGAATAAAGTTTAATTTGAATAATTTCTGCTGCAAAACTGCCACTAATTTCTCCAAACACATTGTACAGGTCAACTTTACCTGCGTTTTCTAATGTCAGGTGTCTGAGTAGGACTTTAACCTGTTTGCCTGCCGTTACTTCTCTCAGGTAAAAGCTGCCTGACCAAAAAAGTCGTAAAAACAACAACAGTGCAGAACATGCAGCTCAGCGGTAATTTAACTGTTTTATTTATCCTCAACACTACCTTTTATTTTGACTGAGGCAGCCTCTGCAGGCACAGTGTATGTTAAGGAGAGAGTGGAGGTTAAATAAAGGTAAAAAAAAAAATATATATATATATAATGAAAAGAAAGGCCGGACCACTGGTACACCGAGAGCCCGGCTCTACACAGCGGGTTGGCAGAGACTCTCACCCCGGGTTTGACGTCCTCAAACACGGACGCGTCCTCGGCGCCGTCCGCTCCCGACATCCTCACCGGCTTCAGCTGCGTGAAAACCGCCCTTTCTTCTGTCGTGTGCGGCGGATTCATGGCCAATCCTACACTCGCTGCCATTAAAATGATCACCTAAGCAGATATACCTTTTTCAGAATCTGGTTTATACGCACAGAAAACTGTTTTTTAAGGTTAACTGCGCCCTACTGGAGCTGAAAGCTACGAAGTTATTCCACAGACCTCCCCTCTTTTCTGGATCCAGGTAGGTTTTTACCTGTGCTCAAGTATGGACCTGCTACCTGCAAGCGAAGACTGACAGAGAGCACAGCCAATCAGAACAGAGGATTCCTCTTGTTGTCCAATCAGCTGTGTGGAGGAAGGCGGAACTCACCTGAGAGATTTCAGGAAAGGAGGAAAACAACTGCAGGGAATCAGGCATAGTAACTACTGTCTCCTCAAGCCCACACACACACACACACACACACACACACACACACACACACACACACACACACACACACACACACACTAAACACTAAACCATAGCTATACTACTAATTACAAGATTATTTGCTATATGTTGGGCTCGATTTATTTTTAATAACAAAACAAAAAACTGACCTTCCAGCAAATGAAAACCTCACATTTTTTCCTGGTCATATTTCAGATTTTTGCAATAATGTGCAGACCCATCACACAAAAGGGAAAAATTAGTCATGCTGACAAAGTTCACTAATGGCCCTAGAAGCAGTGAAGATCTATTGTACAACAACAGATGGGTGACATTTGGGACGTAGCAGACAATAGATCTTTATGACCAGTGGCTGTAGCTGTTCTGTTGAACATCCATACAGGGAAGATATGTTCGGTCTTTGGGCTTCTCTCTCTCTCTCCCTCTTTTTCTCGTAATGATTAAAACGTTTCCAACTAAGTAAGTTACATAATTAAACTGTGCTTATGAACTCACAGGAAACAGTTAATAGTTACCATAAATGTGTGTTTCATTGCATGTTTCGGCAGATTCAGCAAATGATAAAACTTAAGTAGTGGTGAGTAATAAATGCAGCACACACAAGACAGAAGTTTAATGGAAACATGCAGAGGACAAATATCATGTGTATGATCAGAAAATAGTTTGTTGTTTAAGGCACAGTCCAGAAGATACAAATAGTCTAAAAAACAGAATTTGAAGGATTAAAAAGATGATTTTCTTTCAAGGAATCAGTGCTCAACGCAGATCTTCTACTGTGAGGCAAAACACCACAAAAGTGGCTTTTTTTTTTAAAACTTATGGTCATGTGAAATACTTGTTTACTAATTGAAAAGGAACATATCCATATGGTTTAGCTCCATCTGCATGCAACAGGATAAACTAAGGAAAAAACAAGTGTAATGTAAAAACATTAAAATGTTTCTGCCTTTCATTGTCTCTAAAACAATGTGCATACTTATTTATTTTAAACAGGAATTAATTGCATTTCCAATATTGTTTTGATATAAGGTGAAATGGCCTCATATGGGAGATAAAAATAGACTTCTTGATCAAACATAGACTGAGATCAGCCACGTGCACGACATGGCCCACAGTCCCAGCAGTGATGAAGCTGCTTTAACCAGTTGCAAACGTCAGAGAGTAACGCAATATACCTTCTTTTGTCTGCGCTGACACGTGATATGCCGCTAAATTTGGCATTTCCATCAGCTGGTGCTGCCCGCGCAAACACAGGCAGAGAACTTCACCGTTGTGTGTGACTACATGTGCGATCTTGGTCGTACCAGGCTGGGATCAATCTGGGGGCCCTGTAATTTGAAGCATGCAGGACATGCTTTTTCGCCAGTCACAGAGAGATTTGTCGCCCAAAGCTATTGTTTCACCACGCAACATCACACCTGACATTTGCTCCCCACCTTGCAAAGCAATTTGCGCTGTCCTATTATTCATTTGGCTAGATTTTTACCAGATTTATACCAGATGTCAGGTGCACTACACCCTCCCCCTGAACATAGATCGTAATAAACCAGCATAGACGCTAAATCACTGACAAAAAAAAAACAACCCGAGGATTATAAGTGACACAAAATAAGTTGTTGAGCTCCTCTACCACAATGAAAAGGATTTCTCCCTGACTTAGGAGCTTCGGCAGCTGAGGCCAGGAAGAACATTCTGTAATGGATTAAGATTTTATCAGTAGCACTTTTCAACAAGAAAATTCAAAGTGCTTTTCATAGGAAATGAAAAGATGTTAGGTGTTTCCCAATTCCTCTGAGGACACGGTCTATGAAGGTGTGGCCACGTCGTAGGCAGAAAAGGCCAAACCGAAATGAAATGATCCGGCCTTCTTACGGTTGCGTCGCGAAGTGTGGCTTTGTTGCCACGCAAACTGGACAACACATTACTTTTTTTTCACAAAAACTTGAGGTGTTCTATATATGATATATCATTGCAGTAACTTACGGTACTTCCTGTTGTAGCTATTAAATAGTTAGTTTGGTATTTTGCAGTATAATACTACAAAAGACTAGGAGCATGCTTGATACACTTTCTCTACAGCTGAGAAAATTGTTTGGGAGCGTGTGATCACAGGCGATAATGCAACAATAAAACCTCATTGGGACATTTTGTCACCAACTAAGTTCACTGCCGTCAAACTGAATGTCTGTGTGAGATCAAAAACCGTGAGAAAACTTAGCACCAGTGTGGATTCTGTTTATACTCAATATCATAACAGGCATTTCTGTGATCTGGTCTAGTTCGTCCCACTGGTTGGCCCGCATTTTTGCACACTATAATTATACTGCAAGCTGTGATAACAATGCTAGTACAATACGCTGTGCATATTAAAAACAGTTGATGGGACATTCCAGGAGGTAAAGAGGTTATTAAAAATAGTTTTGTACAACTCATTCACAATTCACATGAAGAGACCAAATCCAACAATGCAGTAGTCCGTTAGGACCTTAGGACTTCCCTACACTGTCTGTTGTGACTCAAGCCCATTGGTTTCTGCTAATGATGTTTGATTGTTTATTCGTCAGAAGGATTATGAAACATTTACTGAATTTGCACCAAACCTGGTGTAGGGATGGGGCATGGACCAGCAAAGAACCAATTACTTTAAACCCTACAAACCAAAGTCAGTTGGATTCATCCTGTTAGGATCACAAATGATTATACAAAGTTTCATGGAAATCCATCCGAATATTTTATTCTGGACCAAAGTGGTCGACCAACTTAAAGACTGACAGACATTGCAATGCCACTAGCAACAGATGGACACTGAGGTGACTGGGGGCAATTCTTCTATGTGGACTGTTACATACTGTAGGTGGTATGTATGTGTGTATGTGGGACTGACTTAAAATAAACTACCGTGCCCATGCTAATCATAATGAAGGAACATCGCCCAATGCAACAGTGTGTGTTGTAATGCCATGGAGCAGGCTCATTAGTTGTAGAGGGGAACATGTTTAACACAGATTAACAACTCATCAACAACTTTAGCAATTACTGATTGACATATGGATTAGCAAAGTAAAATTTTTGGAAAAAGTAACTGCGAAGACAATTTTGAAAACAACGAAAAAAAGCTAAAATTATATAGGTCACAGTGACAGATTCTGTTTGCCAAAAGCTGTCAGGAGCCACAGCACCAGTTCTGTCAGCTACATTATTATTAATGATTAAGATTTAATTACATGTCTTAAAATTGGCTCATGCTACTTTTTTTTTTTTTTTTTTTGAGCAAACACAAATCATACAATGGGGAATGATTTTAACTTGATACTCCACCCATAGTTTGAGCAGGAAGCTGCTACTGTCTGCTGCTACTGTGTACTGAGCATATAGATGGACAGTACGAGAAGTGCATTATTCTGCTGGAGTGGTTTCAGTCTTTTTCATGAATGAACAGAGTTTTGCAAAATATGACTAAATACACTGCTTCAGTCTCAGTCCTCATGCATGAAAATCTCACAAGCTGATATGTGTCTTCCCCTTGTTTAGTGACTGATGTTCTGCTTCAACTTCAGATTTGGCCTAAATCCAATCTCCCAGTCCTGGAACATACTCTCATGAGCACCCTAAATTACAGGCACACAGAGGGCCGGTAAAAACTTTTGGGCAACCTGATGGCCGAAGGGTTAGGACTCAAATACCCCTGAGCAGCGAGTCCCCGCTTTGACTCCTGACCGACGACCATCTGCTGCATGTCTTTCCCTACTCTCCTCCTGCGTTTCCTGTCTGTATCTGCTATATCTATCAAATGAAGGTATAAATGGCCAAAGAAATAACTTTATGGATGCACCCCGGTGGCCAGTACACCACTGTCGGATAGAGTTTCTGTAAACTATAAATGTTTTGTCCCTTTAGGTGGAATGGTTTTTAATATTACTCTATTTCATGTCTTATGTTGCTCAGATCTCATGTTCAAGTTACCACAGGTTAAGAAATTTTGGATTAAACTACAAAACTTTCTGTATTTGTAGACAACAAAGGATGATCACAGAGGGTGTATAATCTCTCAGTCATTACAAAACCCTGCACAGCTAGACTTCATTCAAATACACATAGATTAAGAGTCCAGAGTTTGCAAATGTGCAGAACTTCGGGTAAAATGCATATTATTGCAGATGAAAATGCAGATTATTTTGAGTCTTGCGTCTTGAAGACAAATAACTCATAAACCTGTCACGATGAAAACCTGTGAGTACAGTATTTTGCTCCGGGCGTGTTCTTTCTTCTAGGTTTCAGTAAGAGGCTCCTTCACTGTGATCTGTTGCATCACTCTGATATATCATATATGCAAAAGTAATCACACGAGTCACCGATGCATAAAACTGTAATGCTGGTGTTACAAAAACAAACCCCAAAAAGACAACACAAACAATACATTTTTTGCATTCGACAGCCACATTCTCAGAGATCTACTGTACTGGAAACTCTTTTATATACTCTGCTGCTTTTTTACATGGCAGTCAAATGAATACAAGATTGAATGACCTGATAAGATGGGTGATTTTCCAGTTGTGCTGCTGAAACTATTTCACCTGTATCAAGTAACATAGCAGGCAAAATAAAAAACTAATAGAAAATCAAACAAGATCACAACAACAGATAGTCCCTCAGCCTGCAGCTTGGAACAAAAGGCAAAACCTGTAAAACCACTTAATTTTGTCAAATGTCAATTTGTTAATAATGTGAATGTAGAGGCCAGAGTAA